AAAAACTAGGGCAAACTTGTTACTTGCTTTTTTTTACCCAAAGCGCTCACAACTATAAGATATAGTAAAAATACCTAAAAAAAAAAAATGTTTGTCAGATTTACATACATATATGTATAGAGCATTACTCCACCACTAGACAACCACCAAATTTATCAAGATCAAAAATCCATTAGTTAAAATAAGATTTGAAAATCCATATCTAAGGCGAAATGTTTCGTTGTATGCAGATTATGTACTCGTATTAAATATTTATCTTGTAAAATTAAATGAAAACAATGCATAAACAACAGTTTAATAATTTAATATAATTTTTTACAAGCAAATTATTTAATTATTTAATAGTTTGTATTAAAAGTATTATTAATTAATTAAAAATATTACGAAAGCTAAGTATGTAGGTATTAAGTATCACGTATTAGGTATACTTATACAGTATGATAATAAATTTAAGAAAAGCAATTAATCATAAGACGTATGCATTTAAAATGGTGAATGGGCCAACTACTGTTTTATCCAGCAATTATTATTGTCCGTTGACCGTTTACAATCCAAGATAACATATCTTAGCGATAATAAATTAAAAGAACCTGTAGGTGCAGCAATTTAAACTATTTATTTGAGTCACACGACTTAATACGCGAGAATAGTATTGTTTAACTTTAAATTAATTAATTATAAAAGTAAGTGATTCAAGAACATATAGGTAGATTATTCATCTTTTATTTTAAAATTGTTTAAATAAAAAACAAATTTGTTATAAATATTAAATCAACCTAGATAAATTATGCGTGTATACTGTATAATATATGTAAATGTAGTACATAGGTAACCTTTTAAAAACATTATAAGCCTTAACATATGAAATTATTGAAACGTATTGCTTAGTCATAATTTCCGGAAATAAAATATAAATTGTTATAGGCAATTTGTTGTACAGATAAATAGCTGGATATTAAAAAACCCAACTTTAGTAAACTATACAAAATTTTGATTTTTATAAAACAAATAAAAAAATTTACCCTGTAGGTACCAACAGAAGTTTTTTTTATAGTAGTATTAGAACTATATTTCTTCTTTAAAAACCATGGTTGCATACTTCTAAGAAATATACCTTCTTAGTGATCTATTTCAGAAAACTCTTACAAATTACAATCCGTATAGATACAACTGGTTATTTTCTACTGTTCGTATATAACTTCTCTTTTAACCTAAAATCATCAATTGTCTGTCCGACATACACAATACATAGTCGATACACACTCACAACCTATACAGGGTGATTCACCGAGAATGCTCACCCTCTTTTTTTGCTTCAGTAATGCAGTTATTCAAAATCTGATTTTTTTTAAAGCTTTTGAATATACTTTGAAACCATATTTTTATATTCTTGAGATATTTTTCACTATTTAAGAAGTGTCCTGTGGAGATACAAACTTCTGTTTTTCAAATGAGAACACCCCTAATCAACTATAAATCATATAGTAGATCATTTTACTGAAGTTTAAGACGTATCGAAATCAAAGTTCATACGAGTAGTTTTTGAGTTATTTAACTTTGAATTTTAAGTATAAAAGGTCCATAGTAATGAGTTTATAAGATATGGGAGCTATGGTGATTTGAAAATGGTAGTCATTGTAATATTAATCTATCGATATTAATAATTTGTAAAAATGGTTCTCATTTGAAAAAACAGAAGTTTGTATCACCACAGGACACTCCCTATAAGTAGTACAAAAAATTCAAGAATTTGAAAATATAGTAATTGAGTATACTTCAAATTCCAAAAATCAGAATTTGAATAAATTCATTATTGAAGGAAAAAATGGGAGTGAGCATGCTTAGTGAATTACCCCATATATTATCATGTATGATCAATTAAAAAAAAAATTATTTTGACTGAAAAATATATATAATTAACGGTAGAGTTTGTATACTTAAGGCAGCAATGTTTTAGTGAATAATTTGTATAGTTCCAAGGCAAAAACAAATACTACTATCAAAAAAATTAACACAGGTTAAACATGTAAGGTTGTAGTAGAATAATAAATTATATTATTTAATAAATTTACTAATCGAGTTGATAAATATTAAATTGTATTGAAAAATATTCGATAAAATTGATACTTATGTATACTTATGTTTGGTATTTATAGAAAAAATGTAGTTTTTTTTTAATAAAGTATAAAGTGAAGTTAGGATTTCTTTTGGTTTTTTGTATACCTAATATAATAATTTATAGTTTTTGTAATTTTAGCGAAACTTAATTGGTAAAACTTAAATAACCGATTAAAATGACGCAATATTTCTATAACTTATAACTTATAAGTATGCTTAATAAATCGTCGTCACGACACATTACTACATTAATGTGTATGAGTTATACAGTCTGAAACACTCAGATTTCTCCGGATGTCCTCGAGCATCTTTATCTCCGGGAAGAAAACATTAAAAATTATAATAATAATAACAAATATATACTTCTACCAATGACAAAATATTATATTACGAGTATACTTCAGCAGATAATTTAACAATTCTCGATGGTAAGTACCTAAAACATAATATTGCATGCGAATTTTCTACATACATACAACAGATAAAATTAAATATGTGTTGTATATAAGAATATGTTTTTCGCATAGAAACACTTTGACCGATACGGTTTCACAATAAATTGCAATTTGTTGGATTCGGTGGTCCTGATCAAGCAGGTACCCACTGTTCCATCACCTTCGCTATTGCTCTTTAGACCTAAACGATATCAGACCTTGGACTGACCAAGGACGCCGCTTCAAACGAACCGTTTACGAGTTACCGTCATCTCGGAGTATCGCACTACAGATAATAACCGATTAAAAAGGCAAATACGTTAATGTAACAAAATACAAAATAATAAAAACGAAGTACAACACTTGTATTAGCATTATGATAGGTCGATACCTGTTTTAAATTTGCACGAGGTTATTATTAGCAGATAAGTATATAATGTCAAAAGATATTATTATTGAATGGAAAATCATTACTTTGAGGTGACGGGTTGTGAAATAAATGACTAATGGGTTCGTTCTACAAAATCAACACATTCAAGTATTATTCAATAGTAGGTACTTATTAAAATATGACTAACAAAACCTTATACACTTTTTGATATATGATTATTTAAAAATGTTTTAAATTATATTTATATTATATTATACATAAGTATAAAACGTGTGACCGTCAATAGATGATATCGAAATTAGAATATTACCATCATAAGCATTAAGAATTCAAAATAAATTATGATATTGAAGATGGGATAAAATGAAACCAACACCAATAAAGAAATTGTTATAAAATACATCAAATTGAAATATTATCGCTTTGAACTCAATCAATTGATGTCATCGTAATACAGATTTGTAGATATTTTTCATTGGTATCATATCCCTAGTTGGATATCGTGTTAAATGAATATCTTGAATTACGAGAGTATATGATAAAATCAAAAAATATTATCAGTTTTCAGAAAAATCGATTTTGCTTTTTAGTGTAACTCTAAAAAAGAACGACCGCAGATACATTAATTTTTCACCAAATGTTTATTTTGTCATTTTATTAACACCAAGAAGGTTCATTCTATTTGCCTATCATTTTCTAACTAGTTTGACTTTTTTTGAGCTGTTTATAGCCATGAGGAATTTTTTAAAATTTTGTAAATTATTTTTCAATTACAAATTTATAAAAAAAATTATCTTTATAGCAAACATTAAACATTTTAATTGAAAATTTCCAATAAGTTTTTTATCTCTATCAAAAAAAAAAGTTCACCTGAAAATTATGCTATTTGTAGCCATGAGATATTTTTGATTTTTATAATTTTTTTTTAACTATTAAATTTGATTATTTATACAAGTATGATAGGAAGATATTATAACGTCTTCGCTCAGAGTTGTTTTTTGTATGTATGCAATGAGTTGTCATTTAATTCAAATATAACAAATCCATTACAACAAAATGCTCGAAAACTACTGTACAGAACAGCGGTACCCATTGGACCACCTTTTTAATAATAATATTCAACACTTTATTAGTATTAATAATATGGTCACATGGGATTCGTGGTTTCAACTTGCATCGTGTAATTATGTATGATTATGTTATAGTAGTTCATGAAATACACACAATCCATAAAAAAACACTGCAGTAAAATCAATAACTATAAACAACTCTTAAATACATCAAACGAACAGGTGCTGTCAATATAAATGTCATAATAACATCAACAAAAATCAAATTATATAATAGTTAATACGTTTGAAGCGGATAATTGCAAAAATTTTCTTTGAATTATTGCATTTGTGATATAGTTGATATAACTATATAAATAATACAGATGTACAGATATTTAGTTTTTATTAAAAACGATTGGATAAATTCAATGACAATGTAAGAACTGCTTTTAAAAATATAACATGACAAAATCACGAACTGGAGAAAAATATGCAGGTATTAATGATTCACGTTTTACACATCAAGTACTTATATGCTAAGATTAGATCATATAAATAACGAAAAATACAATCTGTTATATAGTACAATAGATATTTTGTTAAAACACACTCAAGGTCTTTTAAGTAAAAACACTATTGTCAGGGAAAACACCGTTGCGATTAGTTCCGTTCTAAATTTGTTTGCTACAATAAAGGCAACGCGGTTACAACAGTTTTGGGTGAAAGTCTTTAGATTTATTTTTGGTGCAAGGCGTAGGCTACAGTATCCTTGAGTTGTTTAGAAAATCGATGAAACGGTAGCAAATACTTATCACACACACTTGCACACGCTATAGAGGTTTTATAACCGTAGGTCGCATTATGGACATTTGTCGGCTAACCGTTCTGGCAAAATTCCACTCAGACATATATATACTATTATAATAATATGCACAAGAGCAAGGATATGTACTCTTGCACACAATTATTAACGTGTTATCGATCCATCATGATTTATTTTCTTACCTGCGATTGGTTTTGATCGGCTCATCTTCATCCAATGAACTACCGGCTCCTGAATCCTGCAACGATCAATAAATAAATATAAATAAGAAAATTAAATCTTAAATTTTATATTTTAAGAATTAAATCACACAGATCATGTTTATATGATACGATATTAATCATTCATTATATACATAAATAAATATTGTATAGAGTAAAAAATAACATATAATAAAAGTTGACCCATAGGTACTTTTAAAACAAGTCTTACAAGAAAATACGAAGTAATTAATGCTGTTAAATGTTTGCCAGTTAGTTGAAACTGTTGTTTTCATTATTATGCATTACACTCAACTTTATTTCAAGGTTAGATTAAATACGATTAAATTGCACGAAGATTGTGGTTAATTAATTATATAGAACAATTTTTATTGAACCAGATTTTTTTAAAAAAAGAAAAATATTCACTTTACACTATACAGTAGTAGCCATATTTAATACAGAGTGGAGAATAAAACCTGATTTATTTTATTTTTATAGTTCCCTTCTGTGATGTATGGGCGAAGTTCAATGTACTGCAAACAATTGTATATAACAGTACATAGCCTGGCCCCATCGTTCAATATAATAATTATCATTACTGAGCACTGGAAATTGTAATGCATAGTATCTAAGCAACTAACCGCAATACACAAGCCTAAATAATTTTTTTATGAAGTTTATTTCCATTGTTGGCTTTCGAGCGATCCACAAGTCACAACACAATAATATACAGCAGTCTGCAAGTGTATATTTTATACCATTGAACAAAAGAGATATCAACTAAAAACGGTTTGTGGTTAGAATATCACCTTCCACTGATATGATGTACTTTTATACACACAATATACGCTTCATAATAAATAAGTCCATAACAAACAGTTTTAATAACAACGGTAATTCAAGAAAATCAAACGAATGATATATTATCCATGATAGTGCGAGACTACAATGCAATAGAAAAAAAAACATAATTGATAATTATATTTATTTTAGAATAATACAAAATAATATAAGATATAAGTTTATAACATAAACAAAGACGCTAATTACAAATTAGATAAGTACTATTTAATTGTTTGACAACAACGACTTATACTTCATGTCGTTAAAATTAAAATACATTATAAAAGTATTATCTTTCTACTGAACACTTAAAAATGAATACTCTAAGTATACGATGTTCCTCGATATTTCGAGTTTTAATATTATCATTTCTTCTAAATTAATTTATATTATACCATCAATATTCTAGTAAAATACTTAATATTTAAAATACACGATAAGGTATTGTTTTAATTATTGATAATTTAATTATAAAATTGAAAGTTATAAATGCACTTAAAATATTAATTGACTTTTTTTTAATTATAGAAAATCTAATTATCTAAAGTTCAGCACACTTCAGTTTCATAGACAGTTAAGACTTCAAAAATCCGTTTAAAGCACAATAGATTATCTACATTAAAAACAATTCTTCAAAAATAAATGACTCATCACGAGTATAATATAGTGAAAGCTTGTTGAACTCTAATGATATTTACTATTTATTATTCAAAATCCCGCATTAATATCCAATAATTGTATTTATTTATACAGTTTCTTAAATCCCAAAAGCGGCATAACAATCATTATACATTTTACTAGTGATTGTTTACCAGTTTATTATATAGGTTCAATCTAATGCCTAATAAGTATAGGCTATAAGTTATATGTTATAATATAAAGATTATAGCATATTATGATCTATTTAAAAAAAATAGTAACAACCAAATAACAAAACAAGATAGTTAGATAGGTGCACTAAACGTCTTATGAAAACCAGGCAAATAGTATACAATAATAAGATCGCATTAATAAAAATAAAATCATGTCTGAAATTAATGCATGCTCATGACTCATGCAGTCATACTACTAAATTTGCAATGAAATAAAATACTTTTTCGTATATTTCGTAAATTTAAGATTTGAATTTATTGGCAATATTAATTTTTCATATTTCTATAGGGTAAAAAAGTTAACGGCGCCATTCAATAATGTCAAAAGTGATTACATATTATGCGAATGACATCGTGCCCTACAAATGAACATAGGTAAATCTGTAAATTTAATTTTGCGGGCGGAAGATTCACGTGCGTGCAATAATAACAAATGATTGTGTGCCGCGGACACTTTCACTGTCACGACCCCGGCTTGCACGACCGCGACAAAACACGGTTAGAGTGGATAGGGTTGTACATAGTAGACCAACAAAAATAATAAAGTTATAATAATAATAATAATAATAATAATAAAACCAAAATGAAATGAAATTATAGCCATTTAAACGATTTCGAAACGATTTTCTAGGTTCTAGGTCACGAAGAGGCGAAAAAAAGGTTAAAATTGTGTAGACAAAATTAAGCCATACACACTTCACCGGCCGCTGTGCTAGTACGTGCCACAGCTGACCCATGATCTCCACGTTGTTTAGCTTGTTTTTCACATTATAAAACGTATAGGTAACAGTTAGTGCACTTGTGTGTCAACGAGAGTGTGTATATAATGTTGTATATGTATTAAATTTATAGTTTAGCTTCTAATTATATTTATCATTAAAATTTTTACTTTTGTTCAACAATATGTCAATAACAGTTTAAGAGATTCAATTTTATCATAACATACTACTCATTATAGCCATTACTATTGACATTCGACACACATATTTTCAAGTTTTCCTAGTTTAAATAGTGTTTTGAAATTCGTATAGTATTTACGGCTGTAAGGCATATAGCCTATGAAAACATATACTAATTTAAACAATTTCGACAGTGTAAGACTTAGAATAAGTATACAATTCACAAGATACACCACACCATTAAATTATGTACAAAAATAAAGGCTCATTACTTGAAATTATTTAGTTGAAACTTAACATTTTTCACGATTAATAATAAGAACTAAAAAAACGTATGTATCAAGTATTAAATATAAATGAATTAAGATATTTGAATCGAAAAAAATACACGACGGGCAATATAGTAAATAAAAAAGTGTGATTTAATTAAAATGGAGAAATTGTTTAATTTGTGAAAAATATACATAAAACAGTTTACTCTTTGGTAAATTTGTTTACAATAAAGTTCAAATCCCAATCAAAAGATTAATCTACGATGATAGGAATCACTAATGTCTAATAGTATCACTTATACCATTAGATCAAATATTATATCGTTATCACCCGGCTTTTGAATAGAATATAATGCAATACTCAATAAAAATAATATTATTGTTATTATAAAAGATTTCTGAAATACGCAATAAGCAATACTATTAGGTTAAAAATGTTCAACGTACATAAAAATATAAATCGTTTGTTTTTGACAAATGTCGTTTGTCGTATAAGCAGCTGTAACGCATAATATAAGCTTGAAAAACTCGAATGTTTTTTTTCCGTTCAATAATCGTCCGTTACAAATTATACTAAGACGTAAATTTAGTGTTATAAATTGCACGTGAGACGTTAAACAATTACAACCACAACAACAATAATAACGACGACGACACTATATTATGACACGGATGGTTATAGATGGACGCCGTGTGAGGAGTACATTAACGAATGAACACAATTAAAACATTACATAAGTACTGAGATTTTCTTGTGTCGACCACTGCACACGACTTCGACAACGTTCATACAGTAGCCAGTACGTACAAACATAATATTATATTTTTGATTATCGTTTTGGACGATAAGAGGGTGAAAATGACAGAAGACATTATTTATGCATCACACATTACCTATGCAAAATACAGTGACAGTCCCTGTAAAGACATATCCAAGAGGGTTTTCTGTTCCGGATCTACCTAAAATCTATTAAATCTTTAAAAATAAATGGTGTAAATACTTTATAATTGCTTGACAATTGATACAATTATTTTTTCAAATAATTAACAGAAGAGATAAAACAAATGATATGAACGAGGAATATTTATAAATGTTAAAAGAAAGCTACAGCCGCAAGTGTTGCTCCAACTTACAAATGTAAGACATAGCAAAAACTGTTTCGAGCGGGAGAAAACGGAGAAGGCTGCAGTAGAGTTATAAACTAATAACTAAAAAACCAAATTTTCACCACGAATATAGAGGAGAATTTTAACTGTGTCAAGAGTTTTTATTTTTCGATAAAACCAATGCATTAAAAGTAATTTAAGTTTAAAAAAAACATAAAAATATCAGATTTTTAAGTGTTATAATTTTTTTCTTATTAATATCAAACAAAAAAAAAGTACGACACAGAAAATATTATCTTCTATATAATGAACTTTTGGTGACTACTAGGACTATAGACTGAGTGCTATTCCACGCAAAACAGTTTTTGTTATGTTGTATACATTTGCAAGACAAAGACAGCACATGCGGGTGTAGCGTTCTCTTAAATGCATCTCCTCTTCGAGTACACTTTGACTTGATATTGCATTCAATAAATAGCCATAAATTAATATTTTCGTAAATATATTATTTTAGAGAATTTAAAATTGAAACCACTCCACAATTTATAGGTTTGTGTTTGACAATAACTAAAAGAGAGAAGTTTGTAAGTATAACATCAAAAAAAAATCACAATAAAATGTAGTAGGTATGTTAATCCGTAATGAACAGTTTCAAAAAAAATTACAAATAAATCCAGAAGATAACGATCAATTTGCATGAAAAAAAAAATGTATACGTACATAATATATATTATAGGCAATGCGCGAACACAGTATATTACGTGTGTGCGCTTGAGGCTATAAAACTACACTGTTGCAAAATAGACAATACAATAGTTGTATGCGTTTAAATTATAATATTATTGTAATGTATTATAATATGTTATGCGCTGTTGACGTCGTCGCGCAGTGGTGCAGAATGCAGATATAGATACATTTTATTTTTAATAAAAATACGAAGTGATGCAACGTGTCTATTATAAATTAATAATATATCTACAATATGTCAATATATTTAGGTGTGTGTATACACTATACAGTGTGGTGCATTGGTGCTGCAGAT